AAAAAAAATTTTTTTTGGCAATGTACATACAAGGAACCGGTTTTTCTTTCTTTTGGAATTTGAAATGAATTACGGTCAATCAGTGTGCTGATTGTAGGACCAAATGGCTAGTTACTAGACAAACAGTTCTGAAACCTTAATTAAACATAAGCATTTCCTTGTTGATACTGGTTCCCCCTCAAAGGAGCTTTTTGTGATGACCTGGATGTGTGACAGGTACAGTAGAAACAGTTGCTGCTGATCCTTATACTCCTCTTTAGTTTTCTGTGCACTTCTCTTTGTCAGTGATTCCTTTTACAATCTTTTGGTCCCCTTCCTGTAGGCAGTAGCCGCTACAGCTGCTGTCCAGCTGGAATTTATTTTTGTATGTGATCTTAGGTAGTGATCAGTTTTCTTTCTTTCTTTTTTTTTTTTGAGATGGAGTTTTGCTCTTGTTGCTCAGGCTGGAGTGCAATGGCACCATCTTGGCCCATCGCAACCTCCACCTCCCAGGTTCAGGTGATTCTTCTGCCTCGGCCTCCTGTGTACCACTACGCCCAGCTAATTTTGTATTTTTAGTAGAGACAGGGTTTCTCCATGTTGATCAGGCTGATCTGGAGATTACAGGTGTGAGCCATCGCACCCAGCCGAGACCCTGTCTTAAAAAAATGAAAATAAAACATTGTTTTAGAATTAACAGTGTTTATAATAAAATATTTTTTGTCTGATTATCATCTGCAGTCTTTTACTTTATGATTTTGCTGTTATTTATGACCTTTTAAGTACTGCTGATGATAATGAAAACAAGCTTATTTATAAACCGATAGCAAATGGTTAGGAATTCACTTTTACTGAATGAATGCCTTTTTCTTTCTCTTGCTAGTGCCGAAAACATCTGAAGAGTCGGAGATTAGTCAGTGCGAAACAACTTGGTGTGGATAGAATTGTAGATTTTCAATTTGGAAGTGATGAAGCTGCTTATCATTTAATCATTGAGCTCTATGATAGGGTAAGTTAAATTTGTGGGATGAGGTGAAGTAAAATTCATTATTTTTTGAAATAGTGCTATATAACATCAGTGGGGAACATTTTTTTCTGTGTCAAAGTCTGTTACTACCTTAGGAAATGGATGTCACACAAATAAAACTTTTCATTAATAACCTTCATTTTATCTGTAGGCCTGAGTTTAGGCAGACTTTAGCTATTTAGAATAGCCTTATGAATGTAGGAGACGAAGATCTCAGAAGTGAAGAAATTATTTGGTACTTTACATTTCAGGACTAATATCATGCAACCAGAAAATAGGGAAATATAGTCATGCACTGATGCGCCATATAATGATATTTCAGTCAACAACAGACTGCATATAAACATTGGTCCTAGGCTGGACGTGGTGGTTCACACCTGTAATCCCAGCACTGTGGGAGGTCGAGGCAGATGGATCATGAGGTCGAGAGATTGAGACCATCCTGGCCAACATGGTGAAACCCTACCTTTACTAAAAATACAAAAATTAGCTGGGCATAGTAGTGCGCACCTGTAGTCCCAGCCACTTGGGAGGCTGAGGCAGGAGAATCACTTGAACCTGGAAGGTGGAGGTTGCAGTGAGCCAATATCGCACCACTGCCCTCCAGCCTGGTGACACAGCGAGACTCCGTCTCAAAAAGAAAAAAGTTGGTCCTGTAAGATTGTAATGGATCTAAAAATTCGTATTGCTTAGTGACATCTTGATCCTGACTGCGTAGACCTAGACTGGTGTGTGTGTTTGTGTGTTAGTTTTTAACAAAAACATTAAAAGTAAAAATAAAACATTTGAAATAGAAAAAAACTTAAGAGATTAAGGATATGAAGAAATAAAATATTGTACAGCTGTACAATATGTGTTTTAAGCTAATCGTTATTACAGGAGTTGAAAAGTTTAAAAAAGTTTATAAAGTAAAAATGTTCCAGTAAGCTAAGGTTAATTTATTATTGAAGAAAGAAAAACATCTTAAAAATAAATTTCGTTGGGTGCAGTGGCTCACCCCTGTAATTCTAGCACTTTGAAAGGCTGAGGTGACCAGATCACCTGAGGTCAGGAGTTGAAGACCAGCCTGCCCAACATGGCAAAACCCTGTTTCTACTAAAAACTACAAAAATTAGCCAGGTGTGGTAGCAGGCAGCTGTAGTCCCAGCTACTCGGGAGGCTGAGGCAAGAGAATCACCTGAACCTGGAAGATGGAGGTTGGAGTGAGCCACAATCATGCCACTGTCCTCCAGCCTGGTGACAGTGCCAGGCTCCATCTCGAATGAATGAATGAATGAATGAATGAATGAGTCAGTCTGGTCTGGGCACAGTGGCTTATGCCTATAATCCTAGCACTTTGGAAGGCCAAGGCAGGTGGATCACCTGAGGTCAGGAGTTTGACATCAGCCTGGCCAACATGGCAAAACTCAGTCTATTAAAAATACCAAAATTAGCCTGGTGTGGTGGCGCACGCTTGTAGTTTCAGCTACTCGGGAGGCTGAGGCAGGAGAATCACTTGAACCTGGGAGGTGGAGGTTGCAGTGAGCCAAGATCATGCCAGTGCACTCCAGGCTAGGCAACAGAACAAGACTCCATCTCAAAAAATATATATATATTTTCTGTAGTGCCAGGTATATTTTGGCATGTAAGCAAATGTGTATGGGGAGGAGAAGGAGAGAACTGCCTTGGGATGCTCTAGAGAGTTATATCTCTCCTTTTTTTTTTTTTTTTTTTTTT